ATATATATAATATGATGATTTCCATGATTTGAAGATTGATGAAGAAAAAACTCTTCGATCAATTTTTTGAAAGAGAACAGAACGCCTAGGCACCCGTGGCCGATGCACATGAGCACTTGTGGGTGCTTAATCAACCATTAACTTTGACCATATTTAATAAATTACATAGGCAATTGTACAAATATTTAGATAAATATTGAGTTAGCACCCATAAGTATATTCATTTTTCCTCTTCTTTTGGAGTCTTTATCGGCGAGCACCCATAACTTTAAAATGTTGGATCCGCCACTGTTAGGCACAATTGTTTTCTGATGCAAAATAAATAAGAAGTCATACAAAGAGGATCGAAGCAACAACTGTTGGAAAAATTCAAAAGCAAAAGGTAAGAATACATGCCGCATAAGCACTAGGATGTGTGTTCTATTTAAACAATTTCACATGGTAGTAATAGCACGGGTAGGGGTGTTAATGGTTTGATTTGGATCGGGTTTTCCCTAAAAAGAAACCAAATCAAGTAAATCGATTCTTCAAATATTAAAACCAAACCAAACTAATTAAGTTAATTTTTTATCAATTTGGTTTTTATCGGTTTGGTCGGTTTTTTGGTTATTTATCGATTTTTTCTTAAATATGAGATATACACTACCAAACACATATTTCGGAGACTACATTTTCAACGTAACACTATCAAACTAATTGCTCTTTGAGAAATCTATCATTTACCAAGATATATTGATGATAATTGAATCAACTAGTGATAAATAATTTAAGTACTCAATTAAAAATTGATTATTTATAACATGAAATAAATTCTTGTACTTACCAAAAGAAAACTACCAATCAAACTAGAATGTAAAGGCAAAGAATTAGATTATTATAAAGGCAAAAAACTAGACTAATATAAACGACTCATATGTACCATAAAATTTTAGAAACTTTATATAAAAATATACATATATATAGGTGTAATAAAAATTTTAATAGCTACTTCTATAATCGGCTTGGTTCATTTTTTTCGGTTATTTTTTTATTAAAACCAAACCAAATTTGATCGGTTTTTAAAATTCAAAACCAAAATCAAACCAAACCTAAAAAGTATCGATTTTTTTGGTCGGTTTGGTTCGGTTTTTCGGATTTTTATGAACATCCCTAAGCACGGGATAGCCACTTTTCAGCTCATGTAAGTGAAAAATAGCCATTGTCATGGAGTTTCAAATTCCACAGGTGAAACTCCATGACAATTTGAAACTCCACGACATTGCTATTTTTTAATTACGGGAGCTGAAAAGTGGCTATTTGTGAATCTTATCCTTTCATATGCAAAACAAATGACACAAAGAAGTCAACTAGCAAGATGGACAAAAATTAAACACATCTCCAATTCAGAGAAATTGCTTATCAAAATGTGATAGATCAATTCCATGAATAAAACTTGAATGTATGTGCTCAATTTTGAACTAATTCTTGGGAAGAAGCTAGGACTAGAAAATATGGTATACATCTTCATTAACAGGTTTTGAGGTCACTACCTCATTACTAAGAAAATAGCACAATTGTAAGTTCCATGAAACTAAGAAATGATGGAGCTCCAAAGATTGAATCGATCTGGTTACTGAAAGGTAAGAATACATGCCGCATAAGCACTAGGATGTATTTTACTTTACCAATTTCATATGGTAGTAATAGCGCATGATTGCCACTTTTCAGCTCATGTAATTGAAAAATAGCCATTGTCATGGAGTTTCAAATTCCAAAGGTGAAACTCCACGACATTGCTATTTTTCAATTACAGGAGCTGAAAAGTGGCTATTTGTGAATCTTATCCTTTCATATGCAAAACTTGACACAAAGAAGTCAACTTGCGGAATCCCCAAGTACATAGATAGCTAACCAGAATCCATGGTGAAGCTTTCTTACAAATGTGATCTGGAGGAGAGTAACACCAAGTAATTGTCATGTAATTTGGCCCAGACCTGAACAGAAGCTTCTTGCAATTGTTATTTTAAGCAACACTTCTTTTCTTTTTTAGACTGCTTTCTCTTAGTGCTGCTGTATTTCAATAACAAAGTATGCATAGCCAGTGAGCTTCTTTTAAAAAGCTGTTATCTATATGAGTTTCCCACAATACAATCATTACAGCTCTAGTTGCACAAAAGTAAGCTTCGCATGCCCACAGGACAGTGAGAGAAGATACTGTCCCAAGATAAACTAAAGACATTCCACTTCTCTGCCTAGCAATGCAGAGGAGAAGCCCAAAATTAATTAAGAATTTAGTAATACTATCATATGGCAGAAAGTGGGTGAGGTTTCAGCCAACAGGAAAAAATGAGAATGGAATTATGGAATATGCTGTGGTGATTGAGATATGCATTCATACAATCAATAATTCAGGGCAAGGAAGCTAAGAAATTTCTGCTATTTCCTTCAGCATTTACAACAAGCATCTCGGTGCAAGGAAATGGAAACGTTCTCTATTTTAAGTTTTCGTTGATTTCTATGATAGTAACAAAGAAAAAGAATGGCTCTAATCTGCATATCTTACCAAAAAGAATTATCTCTTAGCAGCTATTTCTAATGCATAAACACCTTGAGCATCTCATTCATAAAAGGTAGCATGTAGTTCTCTTAACACTTTGGCTCATACAATGACAGGATAGTGTATTAGAGATCTAGTTTACACAAAAACCAAGATTGTTCTAGTAAATCAGGTCAATATCCGACAGTTATTCCAATGATATAATTCAAATTAAGATCCAGTACTACAATACAACAAACATAAGACATGCTAACTAAGAGAAGCCATTTGCTACCAATACTCCAATACCAATAGAGGCGCTTCACAGGATTAAGAGAACAGAACTAGGCAGCTGCATAACATAGTACAACGACTGAACAATGTAAAGTAATCTCCAATTAGGAAAAGACTGGATATCATACGGATGATGAGTCTGTTTAGATGATGGTTAAGTTACACTAACATATTTGGACACATAAGCTGATTTTATGAAATATACTTCAGACGAAACATCAGGTTCTCTGTTACTTTTTACATCCACGGACTACCTCATTCTCCCAGAAGTGTGCATTACTTATAGCTTGTTTGGCCAAGCTTTTAGAAATCCAAAAGTATTTTTTTTTAATTAAGAAAAAGTTTAAGGGTAAAGTAAAAAGTTTAAAGTTAAATTGTTACTAAATATAGAAAGATGTAATTCTTTTTGGGATTGGCTAAAAAGGCAATAGTGCCACATAAATTGGGACAGAAGAGTAATAGGATATATGTGTATTGTCAATGTAACTATGTATTTCGATACAATATTCGGTATTTCATTTTGTTTTTTTCTTTCTAAAAAACCGAATACCGTACCAAATACCAAAATTTTTAAAAGCTTAAATCAAGTAATGTACCGAATATCAAAATATCGAAATTATGCACACCCCTACACATGAAAAATGAAATAAAGCTGAAACCTAAACTAAAATTGATATAGTGAAGTAATTTTTCTAGAATTCATCCCAAACTTGCTTCCATCTGAATCTTAAGTAACAGTCACTTTTTCTTTTCTTTTTGGGGCCCCATTTTCACTTTGATAACAATGTATCTTGACAAAAGGCAATGGTATACGGCTCCTATAAAAATTGTCAACAGGTACATGCTACATGTCGAAAGATCATGCTCACTTGTCAAAGCTGAAGAATGTGCTTTTCCAAGACAGAATGAAGATTTTAGTTCCACTCACCAGGACAAGGCAACACAAGAAAAGAAGCCTCTAGTCAAACCTACGTAATTGAGGAGCAAAATTATCCTAGAGCAAAGACAAAAGAAAAAGACTTTTCAGCGCAAGCCCGAAGTGTACTAACCTGACAGAGATAAGCATTCAAATAATCAATCTCGAAACATAAAATCTCATTTACTTCTATTTAAACAAGCACAGGTTGATTGAAGATGCGACGCGCCTCAATTTCCAGTATTCATCGCTCAATGATGGACCATCAGCTATGAAAAGTAAAAAAGCAGTAATATGTCTGAGAAGAGCATGAAAACAAAAGTGCAACATTATCAAGGAACTGAATAAACCTACTAGACAATCGACTATAAAGACTTCTCTTTAGCTTCTAGTTTTCATGTATAAATCATACACCTCGGGTATCTTTGCCCTGAAAGGCAGCACATATTTCTCTAGAAACTGCGATTCAGTACGTGTGACAACAGTGTAAAGACTTAGCTTCCCTTTTATCAGCTGGTTTTCTTTAAGAAGCTTCAAGATTTCACTCCTTGGCATGATCCTCTTCTCCAAGCTTAACTTTAAAAGTGGTGCATGAGAAGCAAGATAACTAGATTCATACCCCAATTCCATCATAAAAAACTCCTGGAGATAAACAAGATTAGGCTTTAAAATAGTATGTAAACCTTTTTTCAAGAGATCGCTTTTTTTGATAAAACGATCAAGGTCAGACACAGATAAGCCAAGTTCTTGTAAAACCTTAATTTTGGGTTTAAGGGTTTTGTCAATATTACAAAACAACAATTCAGGGGAAGAAGAAACAAGGGTTTTGATCTGGGCTTTGTTCATACCCATTTTGTGAAAGAGATCAAGTAACAAATGAGGCTCGTAGTTTCGGGTTCTCGAACGAGTTACCTTGGAGCTCGTAGAAATGGCTTCTTCTGTTGAGAAGTCAAGTGAGTTAACCAGGAAGTCCACCAATACATTGGCACGTGAAGTCACCGCAGCTGTAGAGAAAAGGAGCTGAAATCTGAAGTAACACATGGGAAAGAGATGCTGTTTTGCGCCATTGCTAACAAGTCCAAACATCACAGCAAAAGCGAACTCTTCCTTCGCAGGCGGTAGCGCAGGGGTTCTCACGACCTTTTGATTAATAAAGACGAAATTGGGATTTTTGAAAAAAATGATAGTTTGTAATTTGAATTATGTTTGGAGTGCATTCTATTTCAAAAAATTATTTCTGGGTGGAAAAAAACTATTTTTCAAAAAATTTGAATATTTAATTTTTGAAAAACTTATTTTTGAAAAGTCTCAAAAAACTTATAAATTTTCATGGACAAACTCATTGTTGAAAAAAATTACAAAAAAAAAGGAGAAATTATCTATGGACAAACATGCCCTAAGATACGGAAAGCAGTCATATTTGCTCATAGATAAAAATTTATCCCCACGTATTTATACTAATCAATAAATATAAGACATATATTTTGTATTTAACGTGCCTAAGTGATATGCTTTTTTACTTTAATTTATTATTAATTCTTAAGGTTAATTATTTAGTTTGATAGTTTAAAGGTACAACCATCCTGAAAAACAAGTATGGTTATCCAGATCCGGAATTTAAATCCTATGAGTTCAACTTTTAAGGTTTTTAGTATTGAACCCATTATATTTTTAAAGTTATGAGTTCATATCCACTATTTTTGTAATTTTAATAAATTTTTACATATAAATTTTTACACCACGTCAAAAGTTATGTGTTTAGTTGAACCTGTTAGTTGTTCACTACATCCGCCTCTGGTTATTCATTAGGTTAATTATATAAGACAAAATTTATTTCCTGCATCTATAAATTATATTTTGAATCATTTTATCATAGCTCAAAAGCATAACTTAATGGTCAGGGGGTTCAAAATCTTTATAAGATTATTAGTTTAATTTCCACTAGCCACAATCTTTATTAATTTTTTAACTTATATTCTTTTTTTGAACCCCTTAGGTGATTTGTTTCTGTCACTGTACACAAGGCGCACTTGATTCATTTACAAATCAAAACTCATAACATTACCCACAACTTAAAACAAATAATCTACTCATTAGATTGGGAAGAGAAAAAACGAAAAATGGTTCCGATCTGGTCGAGTTGAAATATTTTTTTGAAAATCTAATGCAGAGAGACATGGATTGCTGGAGTATTGCTTGAATTTTTTAATAAAAAATGTCCTTAAAGTAGAGGTTGTGCATATTTTGGGTAAAACCAATAAATCAAACTGAAAAAAAATTATTATAAGGTTATCAATAACAATTCGAAAACAGTTTAGTATTATTTGACAATCGGATTATCAGTTTAGGACTTTATTTGTCCAATTTTAAAAAACTTATTTTTATGTATACTATATTAAAAATTATTTTACACGATTTAACAAATTTCGCTAATTACTAAAGTTAACTCTATATATATATACGCGAATAAAACTCCTTCCAGCTGTTTGTTACATTTTAAAATCAGTGATCAGCGCGCATCAATAATATCTTCTATTTCCAAAAAAAATTACGAGATCAAAAAGCAGTTGAACAAAATAACTGATTAAGTTGTTTAAGCAACATCAATAGTTGTTTAAATAACTGATTGAGTTGCTTGAACAACTTTGAAGTTGTTGAATAAATGATTGATTTGTTTTAAAAAATTAAATAGTTGTTTAAATAACTAATTTGAGTTGTTAAAATAATTGATTGAGTTGCTTAAATAACTGATTGAGTTGTCTAAACATCTTGAATAGTTATTTAAGCAAGTGGACGAGTTAGATGAGACGTAGATAGGGAAGGTAATTGTTGACGTGTGTATCGATTATTACCTATTAAATGCTTTATTATTAAGGGATACTCAATTATCATTAATTTGTATATAATTAATAAATTTGTATATCAAAATGTAATTAAGTGATACCTCTCTAATAGGAGTAAATAAATTTATAATAGAGCATGATTAGGTAAAAATTCCTTCTCCTAATGGTTTTGCAAATAACCTAATAAGCTTTACTAAAATTATAATTTTATCATTGGGTATATAAAGCCACTATAGGGCTTTGGAAACTCTACCTTAGTTTCTAGAAATACCATTCTAAAAGTACATATTATGTATATTAGGTTTCTAATACTGGACGTTGGAAACTAATGCGTCACGCACTTAAAAATCTGATAACAATTAACATGTTAGATAAAATGGATTTGAACTTATATCATTTAGTACTTAGTAAACAACAGTAAGACCAAGTGGGCCTATGCTTAACCTGCTTATTTCAGAAATCTGAATGTTAATTCAAAATTCAAATGTACCTAAATCTTGTTAAACTAATAACTTAACCGTTAACGATTGATAATCAAATAGTTTATTGATTCAATTTTCAGTTTAACATCCAAAATTGAACCGACCGATAAGTAACCCTAGCTCAAAATCCATACTACTAACTTAAAACAGTGATGGGTCTTGCATTTATCTTCTTATAGTTTTAGCTAGCATTCTTATCTGACATGAGGGAGAGCCTCGACGTAAGTGGTAAAATTGCTATCATGTGACCAATAAATTACGAGTTCGAAGCGTAAAAATAACTTTTTGTAGAAATGTAGGGTAATGTTGCGTACAATAGACCTTTATGATCCGATTCTTCCCCGAACCCCGCGCATAACTGGAACTTAGTGCACCGGGTTGCCCTTTACATGCTTAAAATTGGTTCTACGACAATTTGCCAAACATATGCTACTTTCGGACAAACAATCTGCAGGTTTTCTCAAAGACGAAAGAGATAAAAACATAAGAAATATGCTTCCATAGATTTGAAGCTATCAATTTATAATAAAACTACCTTCTACTTAGAAGCAAAACCAGGGAAAGAAGACACAACATAGATAGCATCTCTAAGATCATTTTCATTCGACATACACGAAAAAAGCATAGTGGAGAAGAAAACCAACATACCTTCTACTTCCAGTGCAAAATTGATTAATAAAAGCAGCCAACAATAAGACGAAAATATTCTACAGAGGATTGAGAAATATCAAGGAAAATACTCAAAGAGAGGCAGCCAACAACCAAATGTGACATAACAGTAATATTCTAGAGGATTGAGAGGAAAGAGCAATATCAAGAAACAACCCCGCAAACAAAAGAATGTTCTGCAGTCTGCATCTCTACCAACAGAAATTTTCCCTTGTATATTTGATATATGCACATCAGAATCAGCGGCGAAGTCAGAAAATTCCCCAAGGGTGTTCAGACTTGTAAGAAGCAAAAATATTTCCTGACAGAGGGTTGTCAATATATGTTATATACATCTAAAATCTAATATGTTACTTCTATATACAGTATAATTTTTCGTAATATTTCGACGAAGGGACCATTAGCAAAAGGTGGCTTCGCCCCTTACCAGAATCCTCATATTTCATTCCTGAAAGTCAGCACACGCTTCACCATTATATTTATTCAGAACATGACACAATGGTGTAAAGATTTGAGTTACATAAAAAAGCAGTAAATCTGGTGAATGTCTAGAGGAAACCTAAGAGTTCCTTTTTCACTTGTCGACCCACCCCATTCTCTTAGGATAACTATATGATGAGAAATGATACAGACACCATAACTTCAATGATAAGAAATTTTGCAAAGAATTCCAAGTGAAGTTTCTTGTGTCATTTACCATAGGCAGCACCTGATTTTCAGTCCCTGTTTTCTCCTTCATACTGCAAATTTTTATTTATAAAGGCAAATGCCAATTCCCATTTACGAGAAGATATGGGAAACGAGACTCAGATGGTTCGGGCACGTACAAAGGAGAAGCTTGGATGCCCAGTAAGGAGGTGCGAGCGGTTGGCGTTGGTAGGTACGAGGAGAGGTAGAGGGCGGCCGAAGAAGTATTGGAGAGAGGTGATCAGGCGGGATATGGCGAGACTTCAGATCTCCGAGGACATGACACTCGATAGGAAGCGGTGGAGGTCGAGCATTAAGGTTGTAATTTAGGAGGTAGTTGAGCATATTTAGTCTACCGGTGTGAGGCTAGGCTGATAGGATTTAGTCTTAGATTACTAGTGGTCAATGTTGTATTTACACTACTCTTCCGTTTTCATAGTGTCGAGCCTTATTTACTTATTATTATTTCTGCTTTTCATCTATTTCTGATTCTTGTGATGTTGTTATTATTTCTATGATTTTTTGTTGATAGTACTGATATATTATCTCTTTTCGTTCTCTTGAGCCTAGGGTCTATCGAAAATAATCTCTCAATCCTCGAGGTAGAGGTAAGGTCTGCGTACACATTACCCTCCCCAAACCCCACTTGTAGGATTTTACTGGGTCGTTGTTGTTGTTGTTGTAGTAAAGGCAACTGCCAATTCCCTTTTGCAAAATTGTCAACCACATATAGATTCAACATGTAGAACCATTATGTTTGTAAGTGTGCCAAACAAAAGTTCCTTCATGACCACTGTATACGGTCAAAACCAGTTAGTCCTTCATACGAACTGGTCGAAATGGTAATGCATTGGATCGAAGATCAGGTTGAGGTCCGAAATCAGGTCATCAAGCTTCGAGCCCTAGGGACCGATCAATGTCGAGCTCGATATCATTATCGAGCTCGAATCCAAATCGAACTATGATGAAGTTATCGAGCTTACGAGGCAGAGACTGACCAACACTGTCCCCGAATCTACAAGGTTTCGAATCAGAATCGAGCTCGAGAGCTCGAATCGGTATCGAGCTCGAGTCAATATCGAGCTCATAGACAATAGCCGTTGCAACCGCACTAGGGGAGAGAATCCTGGCAGGAATTATGGAAAAGCTGATTTATCATGGGTCTCCCACTATGTATTTTTAATTGTATCTAAAGTAGGATCCTTCCACTATAAAGGGGTTGGTTATTATTTCTGTACAACCAAGTTTTTGCATACATTGTAACTGAGATATCATACACTCATATATTGAAGAGTTATCATTTTTTAGCTTCATAGATTGATTCATCTTGCTTAATCTATAAATCATATTCTTCTCAACTTTGGTTATTTTTTATTCTCTACAGTCAACACTCGATATTTCTATTCATTCTTATGATTTGTGTCAAGTTATACCATATACCCTTAGAACTATGTACAAATTTAACTCTATCTATTTTTCGGGTAAACAGTTTGGCGCCCACCGTGGGGTTAAGGATAATAGTGATTATTTGATACGAATCTG